GATGAACGACAATAATAACAAGACACTTACAGCTATCTTAGCCGCACTTGCCCGACTCATGACTCAAGTTGAAAGATTTGATGAAACCATGAGAGAACGACAAGAACCACTACTGGATCTACCAAACCAAAATCCAAGACCAAACAATGCTGAACTTTTGGTACACAGGCAGAACAACCAAGTTTCCAAGCACCCAAACTCTTTGCAAAACCAAAGTTCACGATCCCGTCTTTCAAAGGAGACAACAATCCGGACAGTTACATCGATTGGAAAGGAAAAGTTGATCTCATGTTCTCATACCAGGACTACCACCAAGCAAAATAAGTTCCCCTCATCACCATGCAATTCGAAGGAATATGCTCGAACTTGGTTAAAGCAAACAAGGAAAAAGATTGAGAACTTCCAAATTCAAGCAATCACTTCTTGGACCGACCTCAAACAAACCACGAGGAAGCGATTCCTACCGACACATTATAAGCGAGAAGTTAAACTACGACTACACTCACTTCGACAAGGTAGAAGTTCAGTTGAACACTACTACAAGGAGATGCAGTCCTTACTCAATAGGGCTAACATAACCGAAAAAGAAGAAGTCACCGTGTCAAGATTCGTCGTTGGCTTAAACTCAAACATCACTGGTCTTTTGATCTCCATGGCTACGAAAACCTTGAAGATACACTAAATAAAGCAATGACAATCGAAGCAAAAATCCAAAGGAGATTCTGATTCAGAGAACATTACCAAGGTAATTCATCCTCTTACCAAGGTAATCCTTCAAATCCTTCCTCATCTTCTACTCCATATTCTCTAAAAAAAAAGCCAAGAGATGACAAACCTGACAAGGAGAAAGAATGACCAGCAAAGAATGACACACTTCCAGCCCCTAAAGATCACATGATAATTTGTGAGGAGGTAGAGAAAGCAAAAAAAAAAGAAAAACTGAGAAAGAGGCAAAAGCAAAAGAGAACACTAGTTACAAAAGGCAAAAGAATAATGACCCATGAGAGGTGAGTGTACCTAAATGTGACAAGAAAAGAGTGACTCAAAATCTATTTGTGAGCACAAAAGAATTGAGAGAGAACCTTCTTTACAAACAACCTTGCATCCTTGTTCGCTTTAGGGAATCAATTGTTTCGATTTCTAACATTAACAAGGATTTGCCTAGTGTGTTTTCATCTCTTTTACAAGATTTTCGAGAAATGTTATGAGATCTACCTAACGAATTACCACTGTAAAGAAGAAAACAACATCAAACCAATATAATTCAAGGTTCCATCATACCTCATCAAACATACAATCTTGAAGAAACCAAAGAGTTAGATTTGTTACAAAAATGCTACATCCATGAAAGCCTTAGTCGTTATGTCATCTTAATGACGAAACATGACTTAAAAAACTCCACATGCTTTATAGTTCGTGCATAGCGAATCCATGTAAATGATGAGAAAGTAAAAGCAACACGAGATTGACCCACACCATCTTTCATCGCCAAGAGTTGTTGAATAGTGCTAAGTGACACTCCTGACGGGTTACCACTTGAAAGCCCTAATCACTATGCCATATCAATGAACAGTCACGACTTACAAGAGTCCAAAGGTAAGTATTTTATTACTCATTTTAATGATACTGTAACGTACTTCTTCTCATTTTTACAAGGCAAGACTCTTGAAGTTGTCATTCATACCAAACATAACTCCTTTAAGTGCGTAACAGACCGAGGTAAGCAAAACATAGTAGACGATGCTTTACCATGAAGGTATACTCTTAAGCATACTACTATTCTGAGAATTGAACATATCAAAGATTTATATCACGATAACTCGAATATTTCTGATATTTCTATCCATACTTTTAAAAGTGCTTTTAATGAGTTTTATCTTGTATATGAGTTTCCTTGCCAACTAAACAGGTTCTAAAGTCTACAAATCTCCTCCCGAGAATTCTTAATTCATGAACCACACTTAGAAGACTTAAGGGATTACTTTAACAAACTAGTTGACATGGTTTTAAAACACTCATTCTCGCCATACACGAATAAAACCATGGAGCAATTATCTGAAGCAACCATACAAAAAGCCAACAGTGGGCGGTGCCATGTTGAATTTCAATCTAAACATCATATTACAAGACTTGTATGCAAAAGAGGATTCCAAGACTACAAGAAATCAGTTTCTACAAAGAAGAAACCTAGACTAAAACGCATAAAGACACATCACATTGATCCTGGTAAATGTTTCACAAGTTTTTCTTTCAACACATCTAATTCTCTTTCTTTTGGATTTTCATATTTGAGGACATACCTTTTGAGGAGTGGGGAAATGATACATGCACCAGGGTCCATAATACATGCATCTTTGAACTAATGTTTCTACTCGAACCTATTAGAAGAACAAAGTCTCGAAGATTCAAAGCATATATATTCTGTAAGCATAATGTGAATGAATTATCAAACTATTCTAATGTTTCTCCCTTTAATGTTTCATATTCGATGTCAAATCTTTTTGAATAAAGGGAAGATGATACATGCATCACAAGGTTCACATCAAAGGAAGAAGTAATAACTCTTCCAAATGATCCACTCGTCCAAGCCTTGGAAAAGAAGACCAAAACAACAGCATAATTGAGACGACATTTTGAATGGGATCCTGATCTTATTTGGTCAACATATCTTCTTAAGATACAACCATCTGTCTCTTATCTTTCCAACGGTTCTTGAATTGCTTTTATTGAAGATATCTGTAACTCAAGATACATTCCTTTTAGTGAAGATAGCGCATGCAGAAATTCCTATACGAGATTAATACGTGATTTTGTAAATATTACGAATTTTGAATATTTATATTGATTATTTGTAATATAATTTAATAGAGGATGATGCATTATCTTTTAGGATTATATTTATTATTTTATTAGGAATTAAGGATGAGTTAAAACATTATTTTTAGTTATTATTATTTTATTAGAAATTAGAGTTAAAACATGTTTAGTTTGTTATTATTTTATTCATTAGTTATTTAAGACCTTTAGAACTCATCCCCTATATAAAGGAAGCTTCATTCAACTTTGTGAATCAGATTTCTTTGATTAATAATACAACGAGAGTTCGTTTTTGCAAGTGTTGATTGCCTTGTGCCTTCGAAGCTTCTTCTCCTGGAGTTCTTTCAAGTTCTTGTGAGGGAGATTAATCTTCACACTCCAATTTGACTTTTCATCGCGACTAGGAGGGTTGGTTAGAGTCATATTATCGTGTTTGCCTTTTCATTGCGATTAGGAGGGCTCAATAGGACATTATCCATCGATTTTTCACATATTCATCCACACCATCAATCATCTTTATCGTTCACCTTAATAAGGGAGATCTTTTGATTTCTTGGTTATCTTACTTTATTTTCAATTTCTTTATCTTTTGTTTATCTTGTTTCTTACCTTGTTTTCAGTACCTAAAAGAAACCCTAAGAACGTTACTTGTTGCCGCCACCTTCCCCTATTCATTCCTCATTGTTCTTCATCGAGTCTAGAGTTTTCTAGATTTGATTCTTCAACAAGAGCAATGTTGATTAACCCGCCACAGTTTCCCTATCAATCCCTCAAAGAAGTCTTATAAGGTTTGAGGTTATGTTTTTTATAGCATAGTTTCTTTCTTGACAACTTTGAGATATTATTTTCAAGTTCTATCACCGTTGTCGAGCACCATCATCACCACCAAAGGATTTTCTTCAAGTCATTCAAACATATCATCGGCTTCATTTATTTCTTCCATATCCAACTTTTATTTCGATCATCTTATCATTTCATTATTTTATTTATTTCATTACCTTTATATCATTTTTAACTTAAACAGTCTTTTTTTGCAGACCAAATTTTCATTGCATGAACAACACTTACTGTTCGTCCTGGATCAGAAAATAATCAAGACAACCCATTCTCTTCATCCTTAGAGGAGTGTGGACGGAATTACATCAAATGTTCAACAGATTCTGAAACTGAAAGCACAGAGGAGACAAATCATTAAACATATTTTAACACCCCTTTTCGCAAGCTCGACTTTCACCAGGACTCATCGAAAAAACTCCTCCAAACAGACGTTTCAACTCTTGGAGAGGCTAACCCAAGCCATACCATTTTTTCCAATTAAAATTTGAGTTTATTGTGGGACCTAGAAATTTAGAAATTGATTTCACCGAGAAGGACCCTTCACTAACGCCTCTACAAACCACCTAATCTTTATCCGATTCAGAACTAATGAAACATGAAATCAGAGAAATAAGATCTTCCCATTGACATATTTCCCAATCAAATAGTTTGCGTCTACGTTTTATGTCCCACTGTCAAGATGAGGCATTTTTCACTCCAAATTCAGTGATAAAACTCATTTTGTTCATCGCCAAAGCAAAAATCTACAGAAATGTCTCCTTTAGGGGAAAGTCGCCAATTCAAACATCGAACTAGAAACCCACCGATCTCCCACTACCAATACAAATTTTCATATTATTCCTTAGACATAATCCAACAGCATCCGAGCAAAGAATGAGTTCATTATATCTTTCCATGACCACAATGAGACCCTTGACATCTCTTGGGGTGGGAGAATAACAGAGGGAGAGATTATTCCCGCAAATTACAACTTGTTTTCATAGATTCCCTCTTCATTCCCGAAATGCCACAACCATTTTCTAAGGAGTTTTATTCTTATCGGCAGCATTACCTCACAAAAAGCTGCCATTAGAGAGTTGATGCCATTAGAGAGTTGATGTGACGATCTAGGTATATTAGAGAAGAAATAGCGAAGAAGAAAGGGAGTTCAGAAGAGAAGTTGAGAGAGTTTACAGAAAAAGTTCATGCATTTCTTTCATAAATCGTTCCTCTTCTCAATACAGCATATTTTATTTAGTTACAGGGCTAATTCAGTCTTTTGAAAGGATGCCAGATGGCTGTCCTTATAACAGATTATAACAATATTAGATTCTCTTCTTTGCAGGCTATTAGAATGAACACGTGGGCTAAACCTTCTCCATTTGGGTTGACTGGGCTGTTGACTCCTCTTGGATCCTTTTCTGGCCTGCTCCCCTATTGCTTGAACTGGTCACGTGCGGCTCCACTTCATCAGGTAACATCTGTGGCCCTTCAATTGCCATAATCCCTAATTCCCCAATCTCATTTTCCTCTCGCCCTTCAATCCCTAATTCCCCTTTTTCATTTCTCCTTCGCATCTCACTCCCTACTTCACCGTTTTCCTCTTCGTTTCCATGTTCTTCTCTTCCAACTGTGACAATACCCGCCGCTGGAGAAGATCCTTGTCCCCAAGGATCAAAACTCGGAAATTGGCCTCGGAGCACAGAATAATCCTCCCATGTTTCGTTCGTAGCATCCAGGTTAGTCCAACGAACCAATAGTTGAGTTATCGGTTTGTTTTGTCTCTTAACTATTCGTCTGCCCAGAATCTGACTTGGTTCAATCTTGAACTGACCCACTTCGTCCATCACAGGAGGATCTGTTGAAGACGATACGGTTGCCCCAATATGTTTCTTCAATAAACTAACATGAAAAACCGGATGGAGACGGGAAGTCTCAGGTAAGTCCAGTTTATAAGCAACTTTTCCAATTCTTTCAGTAACCTTATAAGGGCCATAAAATCTTGCTGCTAATTTTAAATTTTTTCGCAGGGCAAGAGAGGTCTGTCTGTAGGGCTGTAATTTCAGGTAAACTAATTCACCAACCTGAAAATTTCTCTCTGATCGATGTTTATCTGCTTTTTGCTTCATTCGATTACTTGCTTGTTCTAACTGAGACTTGACTAATTGCCTGATCTCTTCTCTATTCTGCATTAACTCTGATATGCCTTGTACTGGACTGTCTGTATGCCATACCATAGTAGGTGGCTTGTAGCCATATAGGACTTCAAAAGGTGTTAACTTAAGGGCAGTATGGTAGGTAGTATTATACCACCATTCAGCATGAGGCAACCACTTTGCCCACTGTTTTGGTTGGAAAAAACAGAGACCCCTTAGATACTGTTCTAAGCACTGGTTTACTCTTTCTAACTGTCCATCAGTTTCAGGATAGTAGGCAGTGCTAAATAGAGCCTTCGTTCCTAACTGTTTCATTAGCTCTCTCCAAAAGAGGCTAGTGAAAGTCTTGTCCCTATCTGAAATGGCCATTTTAGGCTGACCATGCAACTTGTAAACACAATCTAGGTATAATTTGGCAACCTCTGCAGCAGTGTAAGGGTGTGCTAATGCCATAAAGTGGCTATATTTAGTAAACTTGTCAACTATCACCAGAATACAATTCTTTCTTAAAGATGTAGGCAATCCCTCAATAAAGTCCATAGTAATAACTTCCCAAGCCTGTTGAGGAATAGGTAAAGGCTGTAATAACCCTGGTTTAGGCACATGTTCCACCTTAGTCTGTTGACAAACTGCACATGCTCTTACATAAGTAACAACCATAGCTTTCAATCTAGGCCAATAGAAGTAAGACCTGATCCTTTGATAGGTAGCCTGACTGCCAGAATGACCACCATAAGGAGAATCATGTAGTGTCTGAAGTATCTGTAGTCTAAGAGATCCAGCTTCCCCAATATAAACTCTATCCTTAAATCTAAGGATACCTCCTGAAAATTTCCACTGCAGATCATCATTAGGAGTAACAGATAATACAGAAATCCATTGAGTAGCTATAGGATCATCCTTATAACTCCCTTCCACTTCATGAACCCAACCTGGAATAATCATTGTAGTGTTCATAGTAAAACAGTCACCCTGATCTTCCCACTGTCTGGATAAGGCATCCGCAACAACATTTGATTTACCTTTCCTGTATTGAATAGTGTAATCTAGCCCCAATAACTTGGTCAATCCTTTCTTTTGAATAGCAGTAGTCAGCTTCTGTTCTAATAGATATTTCAATGGCTCATGATCTGTTTTAATCACAAAGGATTTACTCTCTAAATAATGCCTCCACTTGGAAACTGCTAGAAGTATAGCAAGATACCCTCTTTCATAAATAGAGAGTGCTGCATGTCTAGGACTGAGAGCCTTACTTAAATAGGCAATAGGTCTGCCCTCTTGAGATAAAACTGCCCCAATACCACCAGAACTGGCATCTGTTTCCAAATAAAAGCTCTTACCAAAATCTGGTAAGGCTAAAACAGGAGCAACACACATAGCCCTCTTTAATTCTTCAAAAGCAGTCAAAGCTGCATCAGACCACTGAAAATTGTCTTTCTTAAGCATCTGAGTCAAAGGTTTGCTAATTGACCCATAATCTTTAATAAATCTTCTGTAATAGCCTGTTAATACCAAAAATCCACGCAGAGACTTTAATGACTTAGGTACTGGCCAATTCCTCATAGCTTCCACTTTGTTAGGATCAGTAGAAACTCCAACAGTTGAAATAATATGGCCCAAGTATTCAACCTGATTCTGTCCAAAAAAACATTTGGACAGCTTGGCAAACAGCTGATTCTGATGCAGTACTTCGAAAACCAGTCGTAAATGAGTAACATGATCATTCATAGAAGTACTATAGACTAAGATATCATCAAAAAATACCAAGACAAATTTTCTAAGAAATGAACTAAACAATTCATTCATCAAAGCTTGAAATGTAGCAGGGGCATTAGTAAGTCCAAAAGGCATCACCTTAAACTCATAATGTCCTTGATGAGTTCTGAATGCTGTCTTGTATATGTCCTCAGACTTAATCCGTATTTTCCAATAACCAGATCTGAGATCAATCTTGGAAAAATAAATTGCTCCATGCAGTTCATCTAATAGGTCTTCAACCACAGGTATAGGAAATTTATCCTTTACAGTCATGCTATTTAATTTCCTGTAATCCACACAAAACCTCCAAGTACCATCCTTCTTTTTGATAAGAAGGCATGGAGAAGCAAATGGACTCCTACTAGGCTGAATAATAGAGGCTGAAAGCATACTAGAAATCTGTTTTTCCACCTCATCTTTCTGATTGTGTGGAAATCTGTAAGGTCTCAAATTGATAGGAGTAGAGTCAGGCTTAAGTGGAATAGCATGGTCATGAGTCCTTGTAGGTGGTAACCCAGTAGGTTCTTCAAAAATAGACTGATATCTCTGTAAAAGAGGTTGAATAGCTGGTGGAACAGGTTTTGAATCTGTAGACATAGTCAACAAAACCACATGACCCAAAATAGGAGAATCTGATGCTGTCATTTTCAATAATGTAGCTCCAGAAATTTGCTGCAAAAAATTAGATGGTTGTTGTCCCTGTATAATAATATTCTCCCCTTGATGTTGAAAACTCAATGTCATTTGATTAAAGTCCATCAAAATAGGGCTAAATAATTTCATCCAATCCACCCCCAACACCATATCACTGCCACCTAACTTTAGGAGTCTGAAATCATGAACAAAAGATTGCCCTTGCATCTGCCACTCCACCTGATTACATCTTGCTGAACTATAAAGTTTCTGTCCATTGGCTACTGTGATTGCCAAAGGATATGGTGTAATTACCTGTATACCAGCATCAGTCCACTGTGGAGTTAAAAAACTATGAGTACTTCCACTGTCAATTAAAATACTAATTGGTCTACCTTTAATGGCTCCTTGAATCCTTAATGTATTATGGCTAATACAACCAGTAATAGCATTCATCGAGATTTCTAGAGCCTCTTCTTCCTGCATCAATTGCTGATCTGATTCCATAATAACATTATCTGTAGGAACAGCAGACTCTTCCTCAATCATCAAATTTAAATTCCTTGACTTACATTGATGCCCTAGAAGAAACTTCTCCCCACACTTGAAGCAAAGATTGTTTTGTCTTCTATAATCCATAAGACTCTGTTTAGGATTAGAAACTGATGTGTTTTTGGTAATTGATGGCATAGAAACTGATTTAAAAGTAACAATGGGGTTTGGGTAGGGTGGGTTTTTAAAAGAAGGCCTCGTTCTTCTATTTTCATAATCAACAGATAATTCATAAAGTTTGGCTTGTTTGTATGCTTCAGGCAAATTTTTAGGATCTAGAGCCTTCACCCTATGTTTAATATCCTCCCTTAGTCCACTGATAAACAATGACACAAAGAAATCCTCATGTAATGTAGGATTTTGTAATAACATATAAGGTTGTAGCTCTTCAAATTTTTCCTGATAAGCCTCAACAGTCCCTTTCTGAGTCAGCTTAGTAATTCCTCTACAATATCAGAAAAAGTCTTGTCACTAAATCTATGACAAAGATCTGCTTCAAATTCATGCCATGTTACATGGTGTTTCTGCATAATATATCCATCAAACCAAACTTCTGCTTTTCCAGTCAAGTACATAGTGGCTACTTCTACTCTCTGCTCTGTAGGAACATTACATATAGAAAAATATTTGAGACATTTTTGAAGCCACCCTCTAGGATTGATTCCTTCAAAGAATGGTAAATCGATTTTAGGTCTATGCCACATCGACCCATAACTGCTAAAAGAACCCCCTGGTCCCCTGTTTTCAGCTTCCATTCCAATCATAATAGGTCTATTGTTACTATTTTCCCCCATTTGATTCTCAGGTCTACTACTGTTCTTAGGGTTGAAACAAGCATCAGGCTTATCTTTTAGTATACCCTGTTCATTGGTTTTATAAGTGAATATGGATTTATCCTTCACTACAGTCACTAACACAGGATTTTTCTCCCCATCCTTAGAGTTATTAGGAGTGTTTACCTGATCACCTGCAGACTGTTCTTGTTCCCCATTTCTGCCCGTTAAAATTTTCAACAGCTCCTCCACATAACCTTGATTAGTGGATATTCTTGCCTCTAGTGCAGCAATCCTGTTTTCTTGAGTCTCCCACCATTTCGGTGGATTAGTCTCATCACGACCTTATTTCACCAAGGCTGTTAGCTCCTCCATCTGCTTTTGCAACCCAGATAAATCAGCTTCCATATTCTGATTTTTCTTTGTCATGCTCCTGATTACTTGCCAGAACCGAGGCTCTCGATACCAATTGTGACGATCTAGGTATATTAGAGAAGAAATAGCGAAGAAGAAAGGGATTTCAGAAGAGAAGTTGAGAGAGTTTACAGAAAAAGTTCATGCATTTCTTTCATAAATCGTTCCTCTTCTCAATACAGCATATTTTATTTAGTTACAGGGCTAATTCAGTCTTTTGAAAGGATTCCAGCTGACTGTCCTTATAACAGATTATAACAATATTAGATTCTCTTCTTTACAGGCTATTAGAATGAACACGTGGGCTAAACCTTCTCCATTTGGGTTGACTGGGCTGTTGACTCCTCTTGGATCCTTTTCTGGCCTGCTCCCCCATTGCTTGAACTGGTCACGTGCGGCTCCACTTCATCAGGTAACATCCATGGCCCTTCAATTGCCATAATCCCTAATTCCCCAATCTCATTTTCCTCTCGCCCTTCAATCCCTAATTCCCCTTTTTCATTTCTCCTTCGCATCTCACTCCCTACTTCACCGTTTTCCTCTTCGTTTCCATGTTCTTCTCTTCCAACTGTGACAGACCCTTGACATCTCTTGGGTGGGAGAATAACAGAGGGAGAGATTATTCCCGCAAATTACAACTTGTTTTCATAGATTCCCTCTTCATTCCCGAAATGCCACAACCATTTTCTAAGGAGTTTTATTCTTATCAGCAGCATTACCTCACAAAAAGCTGCCATTAGAGAGTTGATGCGATTAAGGATGGAGGAAGGCAACCTAAATATAGAGAGGAAATAAGTCGGGAAGTTGGATAGGACAGAGTTAATCAGAGTTAATCTCCCAATAAAAGACAGAGAAGTTGACTTCCATCTTTCTAGAATCTGATTAAATTTATCAATGTTTGATTCCCAGAGAACAAGAGAAATTATTTTGTCCCCAAGTAGTAATCTCAGATATTCTGAAGGAAAAGAACCCAACTGACAACCTACCACAGTAGTTAACATTAATACCATACAATCTGTTTTCTTTCATATTCACTTTCAGCCCTGAAGCAATTTCAAAGACCCTTAGCATCGCTTGATGTCACAAAGTTGATTTTTCGTAGCCTCGAATAAGATAATTAAGTTATTGGTGCACTGAAGATGAAAAATGAAAATAAAATTGTTAGCGGAATCAACCTCACCTTGGAGAACAGATCAGTAGAACGAGCCTTACTCAACAATAAGTTCAGAGACTCCCCAATAATATTAAAAAGGAGCAGCGAGAAAGGGGCGTTTTTCCCGAAAAATCATCGGTGGCTGGTATATTTATCGATCTAACACCGGTCAGATTATCTTTACCGATCTAACACCCGTAGCAGTAAAGCGTGCTCCCTGCCCCACGTTATATACTGATTTGGCACCACGTGGGGTATAGTGCGCCCCCTGTACCGCGCTATACGCTGACATGACTTACACGTGGGTATAGCGCCGCCCCTGCTCAGCGCTATACCTTGGTACGAATTATATTTAGCGCGGACTCTGATCCGCGCTATACTTTTTATTTGAATAATTACATATAGCGCGGTGCAGGTACCGTGCCTTATATGGTTATAAATACCCTTCACTCCTGGTTAAGTTTCTCACATCTCTCCTCTCAACTTATAAATTAATACAACAATTCTGTCAACGAGTAATAATTCTGGTAATTTTCTCATATTTGATTTAGAAGTTCGTGCGATTTTTTGTTATAAATTTTGTTATAATTTTGTTTATTATACTTATCGTTTATTATGATTATTTAAAAAAAATATTATACTAATTATTTTCAATTATTTTTTTGAAAAGCAGGAGCATATGTCAAAATAGTTTTGCAGTGCAGGTAATAATATAAAATTATATTATTTAAATTATTTACGTTGATGTTTAAAAAATTTATTGTGTTATATTTTCGTTCATATATAATTTATTTAATCAGGTTTGTTTTAGTTATTGTTTTTTTGCAGATATAATATTGTCGCACTTTTAAACTCAAAGAATGGCGTGACTTTCAGCTATTGTTTATTATGATGGTGAAATTCGAGAAGATGAAACTGGCGTTGTTTTCGTATCAAATGAGCGTGTTAAAATATCATTCAAGAGAAACATAACTCTTGAGGAGCTAATAACGAAGATTTCGAGGAAGATTCATGTTGGAAGTAGTAGAAGAATGTCGTCGTTGTAGTACAGATTTCCAACATCATTGTTGCCATTAACTTATATAGCGTTCGAACTTTCGAACAATGATGATGTTCAAATGATGGTTGAAGCTCAAAGTAATTATTCAGACGCCGCTATTGAGATGTATGCACATTTTGTTCAAGTGTGTGTTGTTCGGGGTCAATCATTAAGCTCCCACTATGGGCTGGCTGAACAAGTTGATCAAGTTGACAGCCCAACTACAGTAATGTGTAATGATTTTAATGCCATAATGGGGAGACATTCATCCGCAACTCCTTACGATATGTACCAAGGTGGGTCCACGAACAATCCGTATGGCAACACCGCGTCCAGTTCAAGGGGAAGGCATTCATCTGCAAATTTCTTTGACAATATGGAGATGCCATCGACGCAACCATATGTGCAGTTTCCATTTGACACGATGGCTTCAAGCTCCAAGGGGAGGTATTCGACTTCGAGCTTTTTCGACTTCAATGTCGATATGCCTTCCAGTTCAAGGGGAAGGCGTGCAAGTAGTAGGTTCTTCGACCTAAATATGGAGAGCATGGAGGAACCATCATCTCCACCAGAAGAACCGCTTCGTGAGGCTACTGCGGATGGTGCTGAGACTGGACTATTCATTCACCCAGAATCACCGCAATTCAACTCCGATGATGATGAAGTTCCAGGAAATGTGGTACAAACTGACCCTCCTGCACACATGTATTAAGCTGATTATGGTGCAATGTACGGGCCAGAATTTGCAGATATGCCTCATCTCGGTGACTATGGATATTACTCATCAATAAATAATGGTGAGTTATATTTAGGCATGGAGTTTTTAAGCAAAGAAGAAGCGGTGATGGCTATAAAAAATTACAATATCCGTAATTCTGTTCAGTTCAGAGTCAATCGATCGACGACCGTAAAATATGTATGCTATTGTGTCCGATGCGAAAACGGATGCAATTGGATGGTTCGTGTATCAAAAATGAAGAGGAAAAATAACATATTGGAACTAACAATATACAACGGTCCTCACACATGTTGTGCTGGAGGGGTCAACCAAGATCATCCCAACTTGAACTCTGAAATGATATGTCAAGCCATCATGTCCATGGTAAAAGCAAGCTCTCATATAGTTGTTGCTGTGTTGATTTCAGCTATATAATCGCAGTATGGGTACACTGTCTCCTATAAAAAAGCTTGGTTGGCAAAACAAAATGCCATTGTCAAACTTCATGGCGAATGGGATGCATCTTACAACGAACTTCCAGGTTGGTTTAGGCTGGTGCAGACGTTGAATCCTAGGACAATTGTGGACTTCAAAAGCTCCTATGCATACCATAATGATCGAGTTATTCACGATCGAAGCCAATTCTACCGGGTTTTTTGGAGTTACCCACAAAGCGTTAATGCTACCAAATACTGCAAGCCTGTGGTCCAGATCGACGGGACTTTCTTGTATGGAAAATACAAGCAAGTTTTATTATTGGCAGTTGTCCAAGATAGTAATCGCAACATTCTTCCAGTTGCTTTTGCTCTTGTTGAAGGAGAAGATACAGATTCTTGGGCTTTTTTCCTCCGAAATTTACGTGCACATGTTATCACGAGAGAAAACATCTGTGTCATTTCAGATCAAGGAGTTGGGATCAAAGCAGCAATGGATTCTTTGGGTCCAATGTGGCAACCACCCTTTGTCCAACATAGGTATTGTCTCTGACACATTGCTGCGAACTATCATGGAAGGTACAAGAAGAATGATGAGCGTCAATTAATTGTGCGCATGGGTAAGTGAAACTGATGTAGTTTGTTTTCTTTCAATCGTTTTAATTTTGCAAAGAAAGCAAGTTAGTAAGTTATACATTTTTTGATCAGGTTACGAACTACTTCCTCGAACGTTTGAATCAATGCTTCAAGATTTGCGGGAGAAGAACGAGGAAGGATACGATTACATCAGCCTCATCGATAAAGAAATGTGGACGAACGCATATGATGGTGGATATCGATATGGACACATGACGACCAACTTGGCTGAGGCAATCAATTCAACCTTAAAGGGTGCACGTCACTTACCTGTAGTGGCTTTGGTAAAAACTATATATTTTTGTTTGGGGGCGCTTTTTGCGAAGCTCGGGGGACAAGCTCAAACCTGGATGCAAGGCGGTCATGTCTATCACCCTAGATTAGTTGCAGATCTACAGAAAAAAAATTGCTACATCAAATGGAATGTATGTAACAAGCTTCTCTAGAAGGCATGAAATGTTTCGTGTCACAGAGTTACTGCGACCTCTTCAAAGGATTGAAGCTGTTTCGTTAAGAGTAAATCTAAGGGACAGAACGTGCAACTGCGGGTTTTTTCAATCTCTGAAGTATCCATGCTCTCATGTGATAGCATCTTGCTCGCATACACGTCAAGACTATAATCATTTTGTGGATCCTGTATACCTACTATCTGAAGTTTTTAAGGTATACGAATTTGAGTTTCCCCCCATAGATAATGACAAAGACCCTGATGAGGTTCAAGATTGGCTTCTGATTATACCAAATCCGAGTTTATTGAGGGAGCGTGGTCGTCCAAAATCCAATCGAATTCATTGCTATATGGATATTCGAGAAAGATCTTGACAAGACAGAAGATGTGGCCATTGTAGAAACCCATGACACACTAGAAAAACATGTCCACTTCTGTTGTCATCAAGTAACAATTGATGAGGAAATGATGTATTTGTTTATCAAATAATAATTCTTGTACTTTAATTTGCATTTGCTTCAAGTTAATGTCATTCGATAATCGCTTATAAAGATTATCATTAAATTTTATCAAACTAATAACAATTTGGTATTTAAATACAACAAACTTACAATAAGAATTAAATGGTAAATGATAACCAAATTACAATAACTGATATTAAATGGCAATAAACGAAATTAACTGAAATACATTAAAAAAAAGTCCAACAAATTTAACAAAATAAAGTAAGTATTAAATGAGAAATAATAAAAACTTACAATTTAACAAAATAATGTAAATACAAATATAATAAAAAAAATCTATCGATGCATGCGTCGCGAATGTGTTCCGCAGGGCGGTGGCTGTCAGTCTCGAGGAGGATTTATTCGTATCACTGGTTCTGACTCCTCGCTGTCATCATCGTCGTCGTCGTCCTGAGCAGGTACATCAGGTTGATGAGGAGCTGATGACGATGAAGCACCTCCATAAAATAAGGACCCTGGAAGTGTATGACTGACTATCCCACCGGCCTGCGAAAACTGGGAAAACTCATAAAACCCACACATCGCTGAGTGTGAAAACTGTACAGGAGGTGTATGTGTTGTGGCCATGGGTGATGAGGCTGAACCCGCCAGATATCTAGCATATGAACCCCAAGTCAGATTTGCAAACATAGACCCATAATAGCCTCTAGGAGGGGTCATCTGTGACGGTGGTAGTGGCGGCATCATATATGGATGCGGCATCATAAATGGCTACGGTGGCTGCTGTGAAGGTCCTGCTGGTGCAGCTGAGGATGAACTGGAAGCACATGCTCTCCGTCCATGAGTCAGGGGACGATGGTGCTGTGTCGGTGAACGTCTCTGTCAACGTCGCGGAAAGGTCTGCCCTCTTGCATCCTCGAGAAGCATAAATGGTTTCCCATTACTGTTGAACCACTCATAATAACCGTCAGCAAACATCAAGAGGTCATCAAAAATGGGCTCTCTACGGGGAAGGCATCGATGTCGATCCTCCCACAACACGACTCACTCATGATGCCTCACTAGCCAATCTGTATCTGTCTTGTCGCGTCTATCTAAGCTATGCAACTCGTCCATATTGCGAGGTGCTTCTGGAATTGGTTGAAAAAAAACCAAACTGGCGGAGCACGCGATCAGTAGAATGCCACTCGACGGTCGCATAACAGATCAGAGGGACCATCGCCATCCTAACATCTGATGGGCCCCTCAACTCAGGTGGGATCACTGCCCTCACATCATCAGTACAATATGGCACCCACTCAAACTAAAACAAATATTATATAATTTTTTATCAAAATAATAATCTAATTATATAACTATAATCTAAAATTGATTTTTAAACATTAAATTTCATACATGTGTGCCAGCCTTCTGATCGATTAACACCCTAATTTTTTCTAAATCATCAGGTAGCTCCTGATGATTTTTCCTATCAGTAGACCACCTATTCAAGGAAAAAAAATTATTATACGCTGTATAAAATTATTAATATACAAAATCAGCTTTATAATTACCTCAGAAGTAGTGGAAATACGAATGGGTTCTTCACAACGGGACATAAAAAGGGAAATCGATACCATGCCCAAGACTGCAGCAGCAGGAGACATCCACCGATAGCATTACGCCTGTAGTCAGTGGCTCCACACATCTCCCTGTACAACAAAGCCAAAACTGCCGAGCCCCAACTGAATGATCCAGCCAGATGAAAGTCGCTAAGATGTCGCAACCACATGCAGTGAACTAGGTTGCGCGATTTGTCCGGCATCAACAACCCTCCTATCAACTGCAGTATTCATGCCCGTGCATACATCTTAACTTCATCCTCAGAGGCGTCTGCGCTCAACTCCCGAAAATTGGCATCTAACCAATTTAACGGTATCCTACCTCCGATAAATTTTTTCGGGACACGTCCTAGATTATCCCAACACAAAGTAGTCCAGGAACCCTGCGAGATCTATGCTATCACATCTCCATCCACCGGAAGCCCTAGGTGCATAGCAACATCCTCAAGTGTAATCATGCACTCTCCGCACGGAAGATGAAATGTGTGGGTCTCCGGCCTCCACCGCTCTACTAAGGCAGAAATACGGTCTGGTTCTATCTTACAGTGACCCTGATATCTACCTATGTAACCAAATACAGCCTCTACTAAATACGGCAAGACACGGCTAAGTATCACTAACTTAAGATTCCTAATAAAAGGATCTAATACACGGTCCTTCTCCTAAAAAATAATAATTACACAAATTAATTCTTAATCTAATAATCATGCATTAAATAAATCAACAAATTATTACAAATAATTTAAATTAAATTAAAACATTAAAATGTTACTGTATCAACAAAGTGTCGAGATATATGATTTTCATCCAAGCGAAATAGACCGCCTTCCATTATATATATATACAAAAAAATTATATTAGTAAAATAATAAATAAAAGTAAAATGCTTAAATAAATTAAATACATAATATTAAAAATATTATAAAATATACCTTAAACTGAGAGAGTATTTGAGAGAATTTGAGAGAATATGGTATGATGAAAGTAATGGACGAGGGGTATTTATAGGGAAGGTTGGGGGGTAATTAAAGGTATAGCGTGCCCCCTGTACCGCGCTATACCCCACGTGTCAGATAAACAGCTATAGCGCGGAACAGGGGGCGCGCTATACCCACATGTAAGCCATGTCAGCGTATAGCGCAGTACAGGAGGCGCGCTATACTCAATGTGACGCCAAATCAGCATATAGCACGGGGCAAGGAGTGCTCTTTACTGCTACGGGTGTTAGATCGGGAAATATAATCTGACCGATGTTAGATCGGTAAATATACCGGTCACCGGTAATTTTTCGGTAAAAACGCCCGAGAACAGACACTCATGTCTTAGCCCCTAAATATTTTGAATTTATCTATCAGAAAACCATTAACAAGAACAGTATTAAGTGTGATTAAAACAGAACCAAAATAATAGTTGAATGATTAAATATCTAATATAATTTGTTAGATATACGAACACAAATAGAATTAAGCTATATTTCAGGGCACACGGAATATTAAACAAATTAAAAAGATAGAAGGTAAAACCGTGTAATCAATCAGATAAACTTGATCGCGTTCTTCATCTTGGTTCGATTTGAAGACAAAAATACTTTTTCTTTAAAAAAAATAATTGCTGCGAAATTGAAAAATGTCAAAATCTTGCAAAGGTTTGGCCATGGAACAGATAAAGTGTCTAAGTGAATCAGATTGTGTTAGGGTATTCTTTTTTTCCCCTTTCTCATCTGCCCTCTTTGTTTTTTCCTCCTTGATTTCCAGATTTAATGCCCAGACATGAAATCATAGAATATTACTGAATTTCCGAATTTGGGGTTTAATTAGGTTGAGAAGTTCATTCAGGGATGCGCTGGAGAAAATAACCCTTCTATACCAAGCGAATGTGTTGGACTCAGAGAAACTTATTTCAATTGCAAAAGAGGACTGGCACGCTGATTCTGCTTCTTTCTTTTTCATGTCCATTATATTGTTGAATATTTTTTTCTTTATTATCATGGTGATAGGGTTTTAGTCATAGAGTTGATAATGGTGGAGGTTTTAATTCTAAGGGTGCATTCCACGTTCAGTACTTAAATTATCAGTTTTAGTATGTTTTATTTCATTTTTTAAAATCATACCTAAAGTTTAATTTTTGTTTCATTTTAGTATCTATTATTAAAAACATTGGTTTTTATTTCATTTTAGTACTTGAAAAAATGAAAGTTTAAATATTAAAACGGATCAAAACTAATAGTTTAAACGCGTTAAGTTGTTAACGGTGGATACTAAAATGAAATGAAAACTATGTTAGGTATGATTTTGAAAAAATTGAAAGCTTATACATTAAAATAAATCAAAACTGATAGTTTAGGTACTATCGGCAGGGCCAAAACTGAAAAGTATAGACACTAATAGTGCTAATAGATGTCATTAAAATATGATTTTGTCATATCTTAATCAGCATGTTAACGTGTAGTTCAGATAATTATCAATTTTTTAATGGAAAAGGCAAATTTAAAATATATGAATAGTCAAAAAATTATTTTATAACTTTTAATAATTGAGGACTCAACAAAGTAACACCCTATAATTGAGTGACTATATGTGTACTTTACCCTATTAGTTAAGAATAATAAAGGCTACAACAAAAATAGAGTTTTAGCAGCGTTTTTAAGCACCGCTAAAAGCACTTGCGGCGATAGTAAAAACGCCGCAAGAACCGTCAACTATACCAACGCCGCTAATGTTAGAGGCGTTTCTAAAATAAAAACGCCGCAAAAAGTCAAGATTTATAGCTGCGGTTTTGAAACAAATGCCGCAAAAGATTAGATTTATACCGACATTTTTGGATACAAACGCCGCTAAAGGTCAAGATCTATAGCGCCGCAAAAGGTCAAATCTATAGCGATGTTTTTGGATACAAACACCGCAAAAGGTCAGACCTATAGCGATGTTTTTGGAACAAACACCGCAAAAGATCAGATCTATAGCGACGTTTTAAATACAAAAACCGCAAAAGGTCAAATCTATAGCGGCATTTTTTTATACAAACGCCGCAAAAAGTTATATCTATAACGGCATATTTTGATACAAACGCCGCTAATTAGCATTTGTTTTCCTAAGATTAATTAATATTTTGCATATTTCATTTCTTCTCTACATCACCTAAATTTAATATCATGTAACTTTATATAAATAACAACCATAAATTTTAGTAACAAAATAAATTAAAATTTATAAACATTAAAATTAAATGTAATGTACTTTGGAATTGTTCTCTAGAACAATAACATCACTTGTAAAACCTTTAGATACTTCATAAACATTCTACATTTTCTTTACAGACTTGAGAGACAATTTTATTGAAGCTACTATTTACATACTTACACTCCTGCAATACAGGCTGGAATAAGATCTCTCCAATTTGAAAGTGTTCCTTTGACATAGTAAACCGGCCCACAGTTGGAGCCTCCAGTGATGCTCGAGTATCTTTTGACGGTTTGGTTTTATAATCAATAGCAACGTAGCATAAATTCTGTATTTTAATCATACAAAAAGAGTATCAAGAAAATTGAATGAACATGTTGCCAATTTACAGCAAGAAAGCAAAGGTAAATGATCTTGCATGAACATCAGAGTGAAGGTCTGGAGGCTCCAAAGGTCAACGAGGCATTGATTCAAAAAGGGAGCAAAAACACCAAAGTAAATTTATCAATTTTAAACACCTTTGACACTACTCAAACCATATAAAGGAAATAGCATTAACCCCAAGTTGCAGAGGATTACAGCATACATCTTTCAGTGTCCGCACAGTGTACAACAATTCAAAGGTAATGTTGTTCTGCTGCAAGAATTCCCTGAGGTATCCTGTTAGTTTCAATGCTCCCAGTCCAATAACTTCAACACCCACCTTATGCATAACCTTCCCATTTAAAACTATAAAACACGCAGAGTAACCAATACAAATCCAGCATTCAGATATTACAGAAAAATGGAGAAAGCGGACATAGTAAAATACGCATTAGACTGAAAAAGTCACAATAACCAGTTCTTTTAATTCCCTTTTTAACACGAAAGAAAAAAAAACGATTAAGGAGATAGACATACACAGGACATCAGAAAATAATAATAATAATAATAATAATAATAATAATAATAATAATAATAAATCACCATTAATGTTAATTATCAATCACATGCAAAAACAACTCGAGAAATCAAGTACATACTTGGAACAACAGATGTAACTTGGAAACCAATGTTAACAACAATTCCAGATGTTCGTCTTGCTGCAAAGAGAGCTAAAGTTCCATGCATAATTAAGAAGGAATACTAAAAGAATCTGTCTTTGAAGAGTGAGTTGGAGAGGATGCTACTTCTCCACATGTGACAAATATGGGGGAAAAACACTTAAAGCAGTGGAAAGATTTAAGGTTCATCCAACTTGAACCGTGCATGAGTTTTGAGAGGGTATAAGCATTGTAAACAATCATGTTTCTTTTTCTCCTTCCTTCGACTATTTCTTGTCGCAAAAAAATGTCGAAGTCTAAGAGATGACAAGATCGCTAAATGTAAAACTCTAAGAGATGACACATTACACATTACAAATTCAGAAACATATGTTCATGATTTTGTTCATCAACCAAACTTAGGCGCACCTTGAAAGGGGGAAATCGAAGCTGATAAATAAAGATGCGCACCTTGAAAGCTACATAATTATCAGTTTTATTCGAAGCTGATAATCAGACTATCTTTCTAAACTGAAAGTGAAGAAACTGGCAAAAATGTTCATGAAAGAAAATAGAACTGTACCTTCGATAACTTAATTTATGCTCTGTGCAAAACCATTGTAATCCCTCCGTAAAAGGGGTTAATAATTAATTATGACAACAATCAGAGCTCATAAACTTTCTAGAGAAATTATTTAATACTTTGCCACTGTCAATGTTGCATAAGATTTACAAACTATCCTAGATACAGCTAGCTTCTAAGGCCCAAATAATCACTGGTAAGACAGTTCAAATTGAAGCCAAACACCAATTAAGAAACTTAGCCACCGAAATTCAACCCCAAAAATGTAAAAGGTAAGTTGGATGTTTTTGCCACCTTATAGCAATAATCAGCAAAAACATCATACTCTCTGCCGCCACCAACTTCTTCAACTGGCACAGCATCACAGATTTCTTTCAATCATCTTGTAGCTGTAAAAACACGATTCCAAACCCGTATCCATCACCGCACTTGAATTCAAATAACATAGGTTTCCGAACTTACCTGGGATCGGAATGATGTCTTCCCCTTGATGTAGTAGCCATGCCAGAGCTAACTGAGGGTAGAACCAAAACTTAACCATCTTTTGCCTGTCACTTTTCTTGTGCCTCTTTGAATGGCTGGACTCATGCTCACTGTCCGATGAATTGTTACCCCTACAACAATTTAGCCGTCATAAATGTTAGGGAACTCATTGACCAAGTTTCCATGTTAAGGTTACTAGTCTGTAAAATTCTAAATAACCAAATAGTTTTATGTAATTTCTACACCTTCCATGTAACACATAAAAGTATGAGAACAAAAACAATAAAAAGAAAAAGAACATTGATGAAGGGAAATTGTTCTTGCTCATTTATCAACTATTCAGAGCCAAAAAGCAAGAAGTCTGATCATGCATTTAAGCTTCAGAAGACACAATTTTGCATTTCCTTATGTTAAGTAGTTACTGCAATACATACATCAACTTCCATTTGTATAAAATGTATGATAATACAAATCAACTCATTGTACTATAAACAAAACTTATCGAAGGCATAAGCAACGAGCTCGCTAGATATACATCATAAGCTATAATTTTGATTCATTTTGAAGCTTTCATCCCGGATTATATCATTACAACCCAATCTTATTTAAACCAGCAAAGAATTAAAGTTGGAACAATATTAAAATATACATTACAATAGTAACATAAAAATTGAAAAATCCATGATAACGTTTCATTGAAGAATACTTCCAACGAAAATTCCAGATTTAATAAAATCTTAATTTATTCGCCTAACAGCTAATCTTAAACATCAATTAGTTAACAAAAGAAACAATTTCTTTTTACCTGGAGGAATCGGTGTCAGACGAAGAGTAAGAATCGGAAGAGTGGCGGCGATGCTTCCTACGACGCCGTTTACCAATCAAACGGTTTTTCTTTCGGATTTTGAGAGAATCTCTGTCTCTTTCGCGTCGGTGACTGCGATGACGGCGTTTTTTGGCCCGTGAGGATGACGAATCGGACAAGGAATCCGTGGAACAATAAGAAGTATCCGAAGACGACGATGCCGCCATAGTTGAACCAAAAAGAGTTTTCCCCCCTCTTTTTGATCTGATATTTGGGAGAGGTCGCGGCAAAGGGCGGTCTGTTATAACCTAATTCAACTTATGATTATTATCTAAACAATTATTTAATTGTAGAAAAACCATTCCCTTAAATAATAATTTTTAATTTGATTAAAATAATAATTATTAATTATTCACTTACTGATAAGAAATATTTACTAATTTTTTCTATTAATAGAAATTTATAAACAATTCATTTTTTTCTATTATATTATGATGACTCTAAAAGTAAATTTTTAAATTCACCTCATAAATTACATTTAAAATATATCATTATTAAAATTCTAATTGAATTAATGCCATAATTAATCGATATTTTAATTAGGATAAATTACGCATTTAATACCTAATTTAAAATATTTTCATTTAATTATTATAGCATTTCGTATAAATTCAAGCAATTGCGGCGTTTATTGAAAAAAAACCACTATAGGTAAACTATTACGGCGTTTGTATAAACGCCGCTAAAGTTCTATTTTATTGCGGTGTTTATTGAAAAACACCTGTATAAGTTAACCCTATTGCAGCGTTTGTATAAAAGCCGCTAAAGTTACTATTTTGTGGCGTTTGGAAGTAAACGCCACTATATGTTTAAATTTAGTGGCGTTTACTCTAAAAACGCCGCTAAAGAACATTTTGCTATAGTGTATACATTAAACAAAAAATATCACTTAATTAGGCTAGCAAGTTACTTGACATGGATGTTAAGATAATTGAACTCTGTTCATTCAATAACTTCGAGTAACTTGAGCTTGGCTTGATAAAGTATGAGCCAAATTTGAGTTTTTCAAGTCGAACTCAAATAACTTGCGAGTAATAGAGACATTTCATTTGCAATCTTGCTCCAGACTTGATAATCAATGAATATTCACACCCATATGGTGTGTCTTATGTTTTCTTTATGTCACAATCGTGTTTAAGGTGTTATATCTTCGGTTTTCAGCTTGTAATCAATTGTTTTGTATATTGGACATGTTCATGTATTTATGATCTGTTTATGTTATTTTTTGTGTTGTATCATATCTTCTGTTACTTGTACATGATAAGTTTAGGCCAATATGTAGAATATGACTGATTCAAGTACAGTTTAAAACCGCTTTCTGGCCTTATGTAAGGAATAATTAATAACTCTACCTTAGCAATTCAATGTATTCAGGTTTCAAATTCATTTTGGCTCAAGGAGTATATGTTGTATGTGTAAAATGCTTCTTTTTGTAAAAATATTATTTCTTGGGTATGAATAAAATTTCAGATACCATTTAATCCGAATCTCTTTTGAACAACGGGAGGGAAAAAATTGTTGAGAGAAGGCCAGTAAAGTAATGCTTTTCCCTTTTGGATGCAATTATTCGGTTGATACTTCCTTTGTGGAGCTGCAAAATGCTGTTTTTCATATTTACTGTCATATATTCATGGACCCTTAAGATTGTTCTTTCAAATTATAGTCGGAGCGATCGGCCGGCCCTTTAAGATTGTTCTTTCCTAAAGGAGGATTGGTCCCTCGTAAAGGAGGATCAATCCTCGTAAAATGTTTTTATTAACAGTAATGAGAAAAATGGCAGGTCTGAAAATAAATCTTACACATGGTTAAGACACAAGAAGATATACGGTCACAAATTCGCAATAGGAATACACAAATTCCATCGTTGTTGCAACATTTCTGTGCTGCACTTTGCTATATTGCTTAACAGTTCCATAATCAATAGAAAATGATTATCATTTCGAAGGCGATTAGTGCAGGTTATGTTTGTATGTTTTCAACACAAAAAAAGGAGGCTACTTTCAAATGAAATCGGAGCTTCGATTGTTAAAACTCTATGTTCGTTAACACAAACACAAACACTATATTAAAATGCTAGGTATCTTGGTGAATAATCTATCTCGACTATGTCTAGAGTTGAAGACTCTGCGATATACTACTAATGTGTTATACGTCTATTTCGTTTCTGTTCCGTTCCAGGTTGACATGAGAGCTGGGATCCGTGGAAACAAGGGCTACTAAGTGAATGGGGGATCATCAAATTCGCGACCGCATCTGCCATATCACTTTATGATAACGACAAAACCGTTGGACGATTTTCACATGTTTTATTTTCTAGTTCCCCTTTGCTTACCATAATCTGGCTTCCTAGCTTAGCTTAAGATGAGGTACATTCCCAACCATACTGGTATTCTAAAGCGTAGGCTCTAGCAGAATTAGTTCAAACTCTTACATGGTAATTCTAAGCCGGATTCGGATTAGTGTTGGATACGAGCGCTTTATTTATTCCAGGTGTGTATTATACATTCCCAACCATATTGGTATTCTAAAGCGTAAGCTCGGATAGTATCGCTTGAGCTCATTGTCTTTCTATAATGGTCAATAGAAAGGCAGTGAAGATACCTTCCCATTGCAGGCTGAATAAAGAATTCAATAAGGTAAACTACTCAAATGACCACATAATTATGCTGTTGGTGTCGATATGATCTCCATAGTTTCGATTTTAGCAACATGACCACATCACTATTTAAGTGGTTTCAATGTAGCCACTTCGTTACTAAACAGATGGCGTAGCTAATGTGGTTACTGACTAACGGGGAGTTAGAGATCCACATCAACTACGTCATTTGTTTAGTAGGTGTGTCGACATATTTTCGTCCGATCGTGTTATGGCATTTACGTGCTATGTGTTATTTTTTGTAGTATATAGTATACATGTATTATATCACATAACAGATGCATATTATATTATATATTATAATTATATAGCATATATTACACACATATATTAATTGGGTTCCATTTATTTACAATTGCAAGCCCAATGTTTACAAAATAACCTAGCAGACCAACAGCTGCAACCCAACAAGTTACCTGGACCCGAGAACCAAGTGAGCAACCCGAGACCCGGTTCGCTTGTGCCCCGCATCAGTAAGCTAGGGTTTCCAGAACCCTAGCCCTTCTCCATCAGCCGCAACTGCCGAAGACTCCTCTTATCTCACGACTCCTCGCCAACACGCCCCAACGTCGATTTTTCGGCAACAAGCAACGCGTGGATTATAGGACACCAAAAAGCAAATATCACGCAATATTAGTCCAAGTAGAACTCTAAAAAGTCGGGATTAAGAATAGCATTTTTAGACTATAAATGCCATGTAAATCACAAGAAAATAAGGAAAAATGAAGGCAAAGTTGTAAACTTCAAAACCCTTTGAAATAAAGGTGTGGTTTTACCTTGTTTTGTCGATCGATGTTTATGTAGGAGTGATATTTGTTCTTCAATCATTTCGGTTTAAGAAAAAAAGAAAAAATTTCGAAACTTTCTTTTAGTTATACTCTCATCTGATGCGATTTTTTTTTAAAAAAAAAAGTTGATATTTAAACTAAGGGAAGAGAGAATTTCGAAAAAAAACATTTTCATCGGCGGCGGACCGCCGGATTCTGGATTGGGTGGTCGTGTTCTTCAGAAGTGTGAGAGAATTTGTTTTTTTTTTTTTTGTGTTTGATCGAGTTGGAATGGTGGAAATGAAGTGTTGTTATGGTGTTTAACATTTATAGTAAGCCCACAAATCGACCCATGACCGACCCGCAAACACACGACCACGTGTTTCTGAAATAAAGAGGGTGAATTGTGTTTTAGGGTAATTTATTTTACCCCAAAATCGGTTTTTACTTTGAAACCCTCCTAATTGGCCACTTAATATTTCCCTTTCAATTTAGCCCTTATTACTATATATTTAATTATCTTTTGTTATTATTTATTTTCTTCTTTCTGTTTTATATTATTATTTATTATTTACTCTATTGCCTTTTATCATGTTATATAT